CTGTCTCTCCCTTTCTGCACAGATCTGTATGAGGGCAGATCTGTGCCCCCCCCCCCGCTAGCAATCCAAAACAGTCCAGTGGCACCTTTAAGACGAAGTTTTATTCAGGTACAAGCTCTCCCTCCTCTGCGAGGACAGATCTGCACGTCCCCCCCCCCAATAGCTAGCAATCCAGAACAGTCCAGTGGTGCCTGAGTGGTGGGTGTTGCCTTCTGACACATTTCCGGTGATGTCAGGGGGTGTGGCATATGCAAATAAGTTATGCTAATGAGCTCCTGCACCTCTTTTTCTACAAAATGACCCCTGATTATGGGTATGTTTCTTTTGGCCTCCACACACACCCCCAAGAGTGCTGGAGAGGTCTCCTAAACCCCAGAACACTGCGGTTTTCATGACGAGCTTTATTTATTTATTTTATTGGACTTATGAATCGCCCACCCTGCAAGCAGGCTCTGGACGATTTACAACCTTATGAAACATTTAAAATACATTAATATATAATGAAAGTTGCCAACAGTAAACAATGAACTAAAACCAATACGAGATGAGAATATAGTAAGCCTCCTTTGCCGACCACACTGTTGTCCCTCACGGCACGGCAGGGCACGTGGGGGACCATGGAGGAGAAAGAGAGAGTGCCAGTCTCCACCTCCCGTTGCTGCCCTCAACTAAAAACATGGCAGAACATCTCTGCCTTACGGGCCCTGCGGAATTGCATCTAGGGTTGCCAAGTGGCACTTACCTTGCCGGCGGGGGACTCCCTTGTATGGCCGTGGCCCCGCCCCCAGCGTGCCCGGCGTCATAACGTCACTTCCCTGTGACGTGCATGCTGGGGCGGGGTTCCCCCCGGGGCCCGATTCCCAGCGTCAGGGAACGGGCCTCTGGGGCGGGGGGATTTCCGTCCCCTGGGGGGACTTGGCAGCTCTAATTGCATCAGACCCCACAGGGCCCTGATGTTATTGGGCAGAGAGTTCAACCAGGTCGGGGCCACGACCGAGAAGGCCTCGGCCCTAGCCGAGGACAGACAGACCTCCCTCGGGCCGGGGATCACCAGCACGTTGTTACCAGCCGATCTCAGCATTCTTCTGGGAACATATTGGAGGAGACAGTGAGTAAAATGGAATCCTTGCCAGTGACTCCTTGAGAAATGGTGTTTCTTACAGCCTAAAGTAGCCCAGGGTGGGAAATCGCTTCTCGATCACCGCGTCCAGGGAGGGAAGTACGCCCCGTTCATCCCAGGACTCTGGGGGTAAATTCTACGTTCCATGCAAAGCTATGCAAGGAAGCCCAGACTTTGCCTCTTTAATAAATATACCAGCCTCAGGAGGGGCTGGATTTGAGGGTAAAAGCCGAAGATGTAGTGAATCGCTCGCACTCGGAGAATTCTCCCGTCGAGTTGTTAAAAGCTGTCATTCGTTACCACTGGTTGAAAAGTTCGTTTCATTGTTCGGTGCGGGGCTCTTTTTGTAGCGGGGACTCCTTTGCATATTAGGTGACGCACCCCTAATGTAGCCAATCCTCCAGGAGCTTACAGAGCTCTTCTTACAGGAGCTACTGTAAGCTCTTGGAGTAGGGTTGCCAGTCTCCAGATGGGACCTGGGGATCTCCCGCTTTTACCACTGATCCCCAGCCGACAGAGATCAGCTCCCCTGGAGAAAATGGCTGCTTTGAAGGGTGGACTCTATGGCATTGTACTATGCTGAGGCCCCTCCCCTCCTCAAACCCCGCCCTCTCCTGGCTCCACCCCCAAAGTCTCCAGGTATTTTTCAACGCAGACTTGGCAACCCTATCTTGGAGGATTGGCTACATCCCTGCTACAGAAAGAGCCCTGCTTCGACAATGATTGAGCTCATTTGTTTTTGCGATGAGGCTAAATGCTTTAAATTTTTCTTGACCAGTTTGTGACCGTATTTGACCACTCCATTGAGCAAATCTCCGCTGACGGATGCGATGGCTTCGCCAGGTTCTGGCTCCTTTTATCTCTGCATGTTGTCACGTCGAGATAAGGCCGTTTCGCCGCTTGCTAGAAAGAAGGGCTCTGCGCTGCATTCGTTTGCTTTGGGGCAGGGAAATCGGCCGAACCTTACCCACACACCCGCTGCACTAATTCCGGCCTTGGTGTCGAAACTCTCTGTGGGGGGGGTGACTCCTTCTTCCTCCTCGAGCATTTGAGGGACCGTGGATGTTGCCAAATAAGGATTATTCTCCTGTGAGGGATTATATTTCTATCTGAGACGCATTCTTCCCTTCTACTCTCTCCCATCCCCTCCATGTTCTCCTGTTTTCTTGCTTTCCAGTCATGCCCAGTCCCATTCTCCCATGAAGGCCATTCACAGTTTTCTTTATATTGGGGGGGGGTCTGTCCCACTGTCCCACCAGTGGGCCTTCTGCAGCCCCCCCCCCCGGCACCACCAGGTGGCCCCACAGCGCCCAGTGAGTTCCCCACAACCCATCTGTCACCATTTGCCACCCCGACAACACCCAACAGGCCCCCCCTTGTGGGCCAACCTCCCGCTCATCAGGAAACCTGGAGAGTCAGGGAACAAAGCGGCAAAGGAGCCCGTTGGCGTCCAGACGGCCGACAGCGAGGCTGTGCTCCAGTGGCCCAATCTGCACCGTCCTGGCTCCGGCAGCCGCAGGGAGGGAGAGGGGACATCGCCTGGGCCAGAGGCTGCCCTTTGGGCTGTGCCACCAGCATGGCCAAGCTTCTCTGAAGCTCTGGCTCCAGTGACAGCGAAGGGGGGGGTCCACGGACCCGCGTGACGCCCACAGAATGTCTGCTGCCTACCTTACCCTTTGCTGTGTCTGAAATCAGGAAATCACAATTATCACAGTGCAATGCAATTTGGTGTAGTGGTTAAGTGCGCGGACTCTAATCTGGGAGAACCGGGTTTGATTCCCCACTCCTCCACTTGCACCTGCTGATGTGACCTTGGGTCAGTCACAAGCTCTGGCACAGCTCTCCTTGAGAAAGAGCAGTTTCTGTCAGAGCTCTCTCAACCCCACCCACCTCACAGGGTGTCTGTTGTGGGGAGGGGGAGGGAAAGGAGTTTGTCAGCCGCTCTGAGATGCCTTTGGGTAGTGAAGGGCGGGGTATAAATCCAATCTCTTCTTCTTCTTCTTCTTTTACCTCACAGGGTGTCTGTTGTGGGGAGGGGAAGGGAAAGGAGTTTGTAAGCCGCTCTGAGACACCTCTGGGTAGTGAAGGGCGGGGTAGAAATCCAATCTCCTCCTCCTCTTCTTCTTCTTCTTCTTCTTCTTCTTCTTCTTCTTCTTCTTCTTCTTCACCTTCTTCATCTTCATCTTCATCTTCTTCATCATCATCTTCTTCTTCTTCTTGCATCTTCTTCTTCTTGCATCTTCTTCTTCTTGCATCTTCTTCTTCTTCTTCTTCTTGCATCTTCTTCTTCTTCTTGCATCTTCTTCTTGCATCTTCTCGTTGCCCCAAACTGGATGGCCCAGGCTAACCCGATCTCATCAGGTCTCAGAAGCTAAGCAGGGTCGGCCCCGGTTAATACTTGGATGGGACACCGGCAAGGAAGTCCAAGGTCATGCTGCAGAGGAAGGCAGTGGCAGGCCACCGGTGTTTGTCTGCCCTGCCCTGGATGGCCCAGGCTAGCCCAATCTCATCAGGTCTCAGAAGCTATGCAGGGTTGGCCCTGGTCAGTATTTGGATGGGAGACCTCCAGAGTCATGCCGCAGAGGCAGGCAAGGGCAAACCACCTCTCCTGGTCTGCCCTGACCTGGATGGCCGAGGCATGACCTCATCATGCCTCTGAAGCCGAGCAGGATCAGCCCTGCTTAGTACTTGGATGGGGGACCACCGAGGAACTCCAGGGTTGCTACGCAGAGGGAAGCAGTGGCCAACCAGCTCTGATCAACTCTTTATTTTTATTTATTTATTTATTTTTCGATTTGTATCCCGCCCTCCCAATGGCTCAGGGCGCCTAACATGCGGCAGAGCCGAACTGAATAGATAAAATGCAATAAAATAAGCAACATTTAAACTGCACAAGGTCCCGCAGGGCTCGGATCTCCTCTGGGAGCTCGTTCCACCAGGTAGGAGCCGCCACCGAAAACGCCCTGGTCCTAGTAGGGGCAAACTTAACCTCTCGGGGACCTGGAACTTCCAGGAGATGGAGGCTCCCCGATCGTAGTGCTCTCGGGGGAACATACGGGAATAGGCGGTCCTTCAGGTAAGCCGGACCCCGGCTTGCCTTGAACACCTGACAGGGTTGCGAGAAGTCACTGTGACCTGATGGCACTTTCCACCCACGCCGATCCCCTTGTTGGTTCCTTGTTCTGGTTGCGTGATGACTTCCATTGCGATGTCCATGTGGTTGTGATCCCAGAGAACTCATGTGTTCCTTTCCTCCTCCAGCCACACCATCCCAGCCCTCTATCGTTGGTCCTCCAAGCAGAGTCGATGCGGGGGCCTCGGGGACGTTCACCTGCACCTCGGATGGATTCTTCCCCCGAGACATCACGGTCACCTGGCTTAAGGAGGGGAGGGCCATCCCCGCCTCCCGGACCACGACTCTGCCCCCGAGAGAGAGCATCTCCTACCGAGTGGTGAGCGCCGTGGAGGTGTCCCTCACAGAGAAGGACGTGAAGTCGGAGCTCACCTGCCAGATCCAGCACAACACCTTGCCCGGCCCCCTGCGGCAGAGCTTCAAACTTGGCGATGCCCTCCGAGGTATGAGAACCGGCAGGCCCTGCAGATTGTTTAAGTGATCGCTGTAGAGAACGGACGAGGTCGTGTATCCCAGAGAGCATGGGAGGTAGGCTTGCCAAGTCCCCTCGGGGGGAACCCCACCCAGACGTGTGCGTCACCAGGAAGTGACGTTAGGACGCCGGGCACGCTGTGGGCAGGGCCATAACCATTGGAGGGAAAACTCTATGGTTTTCCCTCTAATGGTCGTGGCCCCGCCCCCAGCGTGCCCGGCATCCTAACGTCACTTCCTGGTGATGTGCGTGCGGCAGGCGCCGCCCGGGAGTCCCCCGCTGCGGCTGAGAAACGACTTGGCAACCGTAATGGGAGGGGGTCACTCCATCGTCCCCTGATGACCAACTTCGAGGGACATCTTATCTTATTTATTTTATTTATGTTGTTTATAGTCCACCTCTCTCACTGAGACTCAAGGTGGATTACACAACAACAATCCATGCAATCTGTAGAAATGATACGTCCAGTAAGGAATTTCGGAAATTTGGAGCTCAGAAATGACATGCAGGACAAAAAAAAAAACAGCACATGAGAAGAGATTTGCCAGCTCCAGGTTGGGAAATTCCTGGAGGTTTGTGGGTGGAGCCTGGGGAAGGTGGGGTTTGTAGAGGGGAGGGGCCTCAGTGGGGTGTAATGGCATACAGCAGGGCTCCCCAACCTCTCTGAGCCTGTGGGCACCTATAGCATTCTGACACAGGGTAGTGGGCCCAACAACAAAATGGCTGCTGCGGGAGGAGGAGCCAGGCACAAAATGGCTGCTGCGGGAGGAGGAGCCAGGCACAAAATGGCTGCTGCGGGAGGAGGAGCCAGGCACAAAATGGCTGCTGCGGGAGGAGGAGCCAGGCACAAAATGGCTGCTGCGGGAGGAGGAGCCAGGCACAAAATGGCTGCTGCGGGAGGAGGAGCCAGGCACAAAATGGCTGCTGCGGGAGGAGGAGCCAGGCACAAAATGGCTGCTGCAGGAGGAGGAGCCAACCACAAATTGGCTGCTCCGGGAGGAGGAGCCAGCCACAAAATGGCTGCTCCGGGGGGAGGAGCCAGCCACAAAATGGCTGCTGCAGGAGACAGAGCCACTTACACAGAGGATGCCCAAGTGCAGGGGGAGAAGAGGTAGAGTTTAAAAATACACTGGGAAAGGTGGGGGAGAGAGAATAAAACATCGAACCGAATTTTTATCCCCATCTTCCTCCACGGAGGTCTGGATAGCATCCATGGTCCTACCCTCCTAAATGTTATCTCCACAACAATCCTGTGAGGTCTGCCCAAACAGAAATGTCATTGTCTTGATGCTGGTTTTATCTGGTTCCCTTCAGTCGCCCCCAAGATGTCGATGGAACCCAGCCACCCAGTCAACGTCATCGTGAACCAGTTGGTGATGATCGCCTGCAGCGCGAAAGGTTTTTATCCCAACGACACAAGCCTGGTGTGGCGGGAGAACGGCAGTGAGACGGATCTGGGAACACCTGAGCCCCTGACCCAGGAAACGGACGGGACGTTCTCCGTGAAGAGTTCCCTGGAGGTGAACGCAACAGAGCAGAGGAACCACTCCGTATTTACCTGCTACGCCGTGCGCAACTCCCAGATTTTGGATCACGTAAACGTGACACTGAAAATACACAGAGGAAAGGGAGACAGCTATTCAGCAAATACAGGTGGGTTCATCCAATCGTTCGTCAGACTTTGGGTCCCTTTTTCTGTTCCGGGTTGGTGTCTTCAAAGCCTCACACTCCCAATAGGGCAGGGGCCCCCAGCCCTTTTGAGCCTGCCGGCACATTTGGAATTCTGACACGGCACGGTGGGCGCAACAACAAAATGGCCGCCACCAAAATGGCTGCTGCAGGAGGCGGAGCCAGCCACAAAACGGCTGCCACGGCTGAATGTCAGTGACACAGGGCAAATCCTTGTGCTGTGATGTCAGCCACTGCCGAAGCAACGCCTAAAAAAAAAATCTGCACAGCCAATCAAATCTCCAATGGCCAATCAGAAACCTTCCTTGACAAGAGCCCTACCTGGCCCCGCCCACTTCCCAAAAACACTTGGCGGGTGCCAGAAAAGGTGTCAGAGGGCACCGTAGCACGTTGGGGACTCCTGCTGTAGAGCATCTCATGGGAAACCCTGCTGAGTCTCTGCAGAGTGACACAGTTTCTCCAAGAGAATGAGGAGCGAGGGCACATCCACCGCTCCAGCATGAGAGCTGGGTAAGAGGCAGGCCCAGGATTTCAGCAAGGCCGGGGTGGGGGTGGAGGCAGGGGTCATCTCATAGAAAAAGAGATCCAGGAGCTCATTAGCATAACTCATTAGCGTAACTCATTTGCATATGCCACACCCCCTGACATCACCGGAAGTGTATCAGAAGGCAACATCTACTGCTCAGGCTCCGCTGGACTGTTTTGGATTGCTAGCTATTGGGGGGGCGATGTCCTCACAGAGGAGGGAGAGCTTGTACCTGAATAAAACTTGGTCTTAAATGTGCCACTGGACTGTTTTGGACCGGGGGGCCGAAGAGGGGCTCTGCAACTTACCTGGCTGCTTCTTGCTGACTAAGGGCTGCTGCGAGCAGGGGGAGGGGCTTGTTGCATGTGCCCGTCCCCTGGGCTCTTTACTGCCGGAGCTCCGCTCCTGTGCGCTCCTGCAGGAAATGACCCTGGGTGGAGGCATAGGCAATCTCCATTACCCCTAAAGCCTAGTGCCCAAGGCCACCGCCTCACCTTACCTCATTACAGAGCCAGCCCAGCTTCTGCAGCTTCCTAAAGCGCCTGTCGTTCCTTCACGCTGTTCTCGGCAATGTAATGCAATTCTTTCCCCGCCCACACTTGTGCGGTGCATTGTGGTGTTGGATTTCTCGCTCAGACTCTGATCCCAAAAGGCCCTTGGCGGAAAGGGATGCTGAGCTGAGCCCATTGAAAAAGACTGGGGCAAAGGACTGGTGTTCCCGACGCATTTTGATAATACCTTTGTTGAACGAAATTTCGACTTCGGTACAAGTAGTCGAAACAGACATGTTACCATTTACACACCATCAAGTGTCCTCTGTATACCGATTTAACGTATTCTTTTTTCTAAAGTGTGAGGAATGCTTCACAAAACTCCTTAACGTTATTCCACCACCCTGAATGGTCTATGGGAGGGGCAATGGCTCAGTGGTAGAGTCTCTGCTTGGCAGGCAAAAGGTTCCAGGTTCAATCCCCGGCACCTCCGGTTAAAAGAATCGGTTAAGAGGCGATGTGAAAGACCTCCTCCTGACATAGCGGAGAGCCACTGACTCTGAGTAGACAGTACTGACCTTGATGGATCGATGGTCTAATTCCGTATAAAGATAGCTTGGTGCATAAGAACATAAGAACATAAGAGAGGCCAATGTTGGATCAGGCCAAAGGCCCATCCAGTCCAACATTCTGTGTCACACAGTGGCCAGAAATACTAGGTGCCATCAGGAGGTCCAGCAGTGGGGCCAGGACACTATAAAAGCCCTCCCACTGTTGACCCCCCCCCAAGCACCAAGAAGACAGAGCATCACTCGCCCCAGAGCCCCTATCTATACCTTGTGGCTAATAGCCACTGATGGACCTCTGCTCCATATTCTTATCTAATCCCCTCTTGAAGCCGTCCATGCTTGTAGCCGCCACCACTTCCTGTGGCAGTGAATTCCAAGTGTGAATAACTCTTTGGGTGAAGAAGTACTTCCTCTTATCCGTTCTAACCCGTTCATGGGTGCATCCTCAAACCCATTCCTTAGCTCATAGGGTTCTCTTAGAGATGTCTTGTTCCAGGCCATGAAAGTTGCTAAAGATTTTAGAAATCAGATAGGAGATCTGGATGCAGACAAAGATACGATGTCGTTAGATACTTTGAATGGACGCTCGCTGTATTCTGGCAACCCACAGAACGAGATATCGGATGGAAACGATTTAGAGAACGTTAAAGAAAAGACATGTGCTTTTCTTAACAGGCTTGAGCTGACAGCGCTTTGTGCAGCAATTATGTTTCTTTTCATGTGCTTTCTTGGTAAATTAGAGAAAGAGTGGGCTATAGAATCTTTCTCTCAGGGTGCCTGAAGTGGTAAATTTGTATATCGGGGTCTTCAATGAGATTGTTTTTTTCCTGTAAATCATTCTTATTCATGGTATGCTGTCAAACTGCGGGGAAATATCGATGGCCTCTTTGTGGCTTGGAATGTTCACTTCTTCTTTTTGGCTCATGTACTGAAATCCGGCAATTAAGTGAAACTTCCATAAACTATCTGGGTATTAAGGCTATTAAAATGACAGAGAGAGATTTCAGACCAGATCATATGGGAAGCCTACAGACTGTAACATGTATTTGTGTTTTCAAAAGTCGATATCCCAGCTACATGAAAGGAAATATCCCTATGGGATAATGTTTTAGAACTTGTTAAGATCAGGCAGAAGTGGCAAATCACAAAATGGAAGCAACAAAATTAGGATGAGGGTTGGTTTTTGTTTTTTACACAGATCTCTGATTGATGTCCCAGCCCGCCCCAAGCACACCTGAGAGCCCTAGCAGTTTCTTACAGTGAAATTGAGGCTTCGAGAGACAGATTAGAAGTAGTAACACAGGAAAGTAATAAATCTTGACAAGTTTGCCAGCCCCAATAATAAAGTCCATATCCTTTATTAAGAACCTTGTGACCCACTTTATGAAATATAAGCATACTGGGAAAATATAGCGGTTTATATACCAGAGGGGGGGAGGGGAGAGAGAGAGAGAGAGAGATGACAGACAAACAGACATTAGATGATAAATAGAAAGATGGATAGATGGATGGATGGATGGATGGATGGATGGATGGATGGATGGATAGATGATAGATGGATAGATAGATGGATAGATGGCTAGATAGATGGATAGAGACAGACAGACAGACAGACAGACATTAGATGATAGATAAATAGATAGGCAGACATGGTAGGTAGGTAGGTAGACAGACAGACATATAGGCAGAGAGAGAAGACTGACAGACATTAGACGATAGATTGAAAGATGATATATGATAGATTGAAAGACATTATACAGATGAAAAATAGGCAGGTAGGTAGGTAGGTAGACAGACGTTAGATGATATATGAATGCTAGCTAGACAGACAGACATTAGATAGATGATAAATAGAGAGGCAGACATTAGATAGATAGATAGATAGAGATGGATAGATGGATAGATGGATAGATGGATAGAGACAGACAGACAGACATTAGATGATAGATAAATAGATAGGCAAACATGATAGGTAGGTAGGTAGACAGACAGACAGTCATATAGGCAGAGAGAGAAGACTGACAGACATTAGACGATAGATTAAAAGATGATATATGATAGACAGACATTATACAGATGAAAAATAGGCAGACAGGTAGGTAGGTAGACAGACGTTAGATAGATGATATATGAATGCTAGCTAGACAGACAGACATTAGATAGATAGATAGAGAGAGAGAGAGAGAGAGAGAGAGAGAGAGAGAGAGAGAGAGAGAGAGAGAGAGAGAGAGAGAGAGAGAGAGAGAGAGAGAGAGAGAGAGAGAGAGAGAGAGAGAGAGAGAGAGAGAGAGAGAGAGAGAGAGAGAGAGAGAGAGAGACAGAGACAGAGAGACAGACAGACATTAGATGATTGATAGATAAACAGATAAATAGGTGATATATGATAGACATTAGACAGATGAAAAATAGACAGGCAGGTAGGCAGATAGGTAGGTGGGTAGACAGACACATTAGATATGTGATAGATGAATGATAGCTAGACAGACAGACATTAGGTATATGATAAATAGGCAGACATATGATAGATAGATATGATGATGATGATGATGATGATGATGATGATGATGATGATGATGATGATGATGATGATGATGATGATGGATACCTGAGAGATCTACATTTGCACACACAAGGAAAAAATTAAATTGCACTAGTACAGAGTTGCTCAACACACTATCCATGGGGTGCCTGCAGCCCCAAAGGGGATGCCCTTTTGTACCAGTATATGGGCCCAACACACCTGAAGGACTACCTACTCCCTTATGAACTTCCCCAAATACTCAGGTCATCTTTGGAGGCCCTGCTTTGGGTGCCGCTGGCTTCTGAGGCTAAGCAGGTGGTGACCAGGAGAGGGCCTTCTTGGTGATGGCACCAAAACTCCGAAACTCTCTCCCTTGGGAGACCCATCTGTCCCCTTTTGTCACCATCTTCCTCCAGGACTTTGGCTTTATTTTTTTTGGCTTTTCCCTCCATGATCCTTCTTTCCCACCCAATGTTTTTAATGGTTGTTTTAATGTCTATGTACTTATTTTAGCTCTGGTTTTAATGATCTGTTCCAAGGCAGTTGGTTTTAATGGCTCTAAAATCTGGTTTTATTATGTACGTTTTATTCGGTGGCCTCTATGAGGACAGAAAGGTGGGGTAGATATTTTGTAAAAATAAACAAACAGATCATCTGTCTCCCTGGTAGCCAGTTTGGTGCAGTGGTGAAGTGCACGGACTCTAATCGGGGAGAACCGGGTCTGATTCCCCACTCCTCCTCCACTTGCACCTGCTGGATGACCTTGGGCAAGCCATAGTTCTTCCAGAGCTGTCCTTGAAAAAGAGCAGTTTCTCTCTGAGCTCTCTCAGCCCCACCTACCTCACAGGGTGTCTGTG